TGAGAAATAAAAATGTAATAAAATGCAATAGTGAAGGTAATGAAGTGAAAAAATAGGAAGGAGATCTCAATACGAAAAAAGAATGATGGGTATATATATAAAGAGAGTGATAAGCACGGTAAGTACAGAGAAACATGAGAAAGGGCCAATGAGTCATTTGTGTTATTTATTATTTGTTAATTCTTATCTTTAACGTGTTTTTTTCTTCATTCTATTCCACAATTTTCTTACCTGATTGCGTTATGCCATTATTATTAGTCACTTAATTCACTGTATAATTATGTCTTTATTTATATTAATGGATATTAGATATGATGAGTGTGTGTGTTAGTGCACACATATAAGCTCACCACTAACAACTCACCCAACACTCACTCAACTCACACATACACTCACTGAAGCTAGGGCGCACGAGGCACACTCCATACACTCAAGTAGGTCACTCGACCATACACACGACCAGTCACTACTACACAACACACACACAGACAACATATATTATATATATGAATATCTATATCACTATAACTAACATCTACATTATATATGTGTATTCAATATATATTTATTAGTAAATTTTATTATGTAGTTACATTATTATTATATTTAGTGTGTGTGGGCGTGAGGGTGTGTGTAGTGCGTTGCTCGTAGTACGTTGTGCGTGTTAGTTGTAGTCATAATTATAATATAGTGCTATTATGATATATAGTGCAATAATAAATATGTATATAAATTGCTGAAATTACTAGTATAGAAGAAAATTATCAGTATATATTAATGAGATTTATTTCTTCATTACATTTGCATGTAAAAAACAGAGTTTCATAGGCAACAATACATTACTTTTTTTTTCTTTCTTTTTTTTTCTTTTACTATCAGCATGAGAGTTGACTCCATTTCATTTTTTTTCCTTTCTTTTGTTTTTGGTTTTCATTCTCTGTTTATGTTATCTCGCAGCTGACAAAGGGGACTTTTATTAGCGAAAACATTACGAATATCAAACTTGGTCTGAGGAAAATGAAAATATTCAACTTATTTTCCCTTGCTAAGAAAATAAGAGACTTCATACACATGCATACATACATTAATTCACACACACACACACACACACACACACACACACACACACACACACCACACACAACACACACACAACACACACACACACACACACACACACACACACACACACACACACACACACACACCACACACACACACACACACACACACACACACACAACACACACACACACACACACACACACACACATCT